GCGTGCAGGGGCTGCGCGCCAGCAGCGGTGACGTGCGCGGTGCAAGGCGACGACGGTGATTGCACTTCGACTGCGGAAATTTCACCCTTTCCGTGCCCCCCCGCCCCGGTTTCCTGGTGCACGGTGGGGTGTGGGGTACCCTGCTGCCTCCCGGGCCGCTCACGCCGCTGGCCGCCTCTGCCCGCACCGAATCACCCCTTTCCCCAGACGTGGCCAGGGAACACGCATCCCTGACTCTCTGCAAAAGCCAAGGGGGGGTTGGCCCCCCAGGACCCACGCAAGGGGCAAGGTGCTGATTGAGGGCTTTGCAAGGAGTGTCTGTGGGGCGGGAGGCAATGGGAGCCACGCTGGCACCGGGAGCTGGGGGGAGGCAGGTCGGTGCCCCCCCAACCTTTCCCCCCGTGCTGCAGACGCAGGGGCGAGAAGACCTTGCGGCACAGCCGGGGGTGGAGATGCAGGCTGAGAGATGCTCCTGGCAGGCTGTACCGCTGCCTGCAGCGCCCTGGGGCCGTCGCCTTCCCTGCCTCACCCAGGTCAGCCCCGCTCCCCCTCCACCACCACCCTTCGCCCCAGGCAGCACAGAAGCAGCAGCAGGGCTGGAGGGGCTGGCAGGGCTCCCCAGGAGGCATGGGCACTGGCGTCTCTGGTCTGGCTGACACCAGCAGGACCAGGTAAAACCAAGGGCCTCCTTGAGATGTCAAAGGCTGCTGGCATGTAACCCTTCAAGCATCCAAGCCTTCTCTCCAGGGCTACAAGGCAGCTGAGCTGCTCAGCCCTGCCTGTGCTGGGAGATGGTGGTCCTGGGCAGCAGGGACCCCAGGCTGGGTGTGACATACCCGATGGCTGGCATGCAGCCACAGGGCTGTGCCCCCCCAGGGGACTGGAGGCACCCTGGGAGGATGAGACCCTCATGGCCAGCTAGCACCCATTGCTCCTTCATGCCTCGCTGTTCCCTCAGGAAAATGTTCCCTTGGGCTGGCGTTGGTGTCTGGAGACCTTGCTCATGTGAGACAGCGTGGGTGACAAGCACAGCTTTGTTCACCCTGTGCTGCAATGCAGGGCAACAGCCTTGCTCTCCTCCCGGTGCCTCTGGCTGTGTCATGGCGTGCTGAGCCTGCCAGCCCCAGCGGTGCTAGCCCAGCAGCTCACAGGGTGCACTGGGGACATGGGGCTACCCCACACACCCAGGACAGGGCAGCCTTGCAGTTAGAGCATATACCTGTGCTTTAGGTGCTCTAGATCCTTCCTTGCTTTGCTCCTGCACAGCTAAGGTCCCCGTCCTCTGCTCCTTGCAAGCTGAAGGCTAGAGGATGCGCTGAACTACAGCACAGCCTAGGAGGTTTTTGTCCCCAGGTACTGTAAGCAAACTTAGCCTGAGGACTATCAACAGTAAAATCAAAGTTAGCTTCTCACCTCAGAATACCAGCTCCCAGCCTCGCCTCAGAGCCCAGACTTGGCCCTCTTCTCCCAAAGAGCTGAAGACTAGCCAGATCACACCATAGCTTCTTCCCCCACACTCTCCCTGCTAAGAACAACCCTACAGAACAGCTGTGCCGGGGCCTGAGGGCACTTATATGCCTTACTGGCCCTGAGCATCCTCACCTGAGGCCCCCAACCACACAGCCCTGGGCCCCCATTTAAGCCCAGCCCTGACTCATTCCAATCCTTACTTGCACTCACCCTGCTGTTCAGCCCCTGTGGGCTGCACCCCAGGAGGGAAGCACAGTGTCAGGGTCATTCCTGGCCCCCCTTTCATTCCCCATAGAGGAACACCCAGGTTTTGTTGCACCCTTTGCAACCCTCCCCAGCCAGGTCAGGAGCTGGATGGGGCTTCCAGGGCAAGGCAGGATGGGTCAGTGATGGATGGTGCTGCTGTCTGCTCTGCTGCAAGCTGCCCTTGGGCTGTTGGGGTACGTCTCTTTTTCACCTAAGGCTGCTGTCTCTGTACAACAGGCTGTGACAATGTGTGGGCAGGAACTGGGGTCTTGGTGCCCAAATACTGGGGAAGTGCAGGCAGTCTCAGGACTTTGCTTCTGGGAGCTACAGCTGGCTGTGCTGCTGCAAGCATCCTATGGAGCTGCTTCTGTGCTCCTCTGCCTCGATGCTGCAGTCGTTGCTTGGACCTGCTCACCTCCCGCTGTGTTCCCAAGGTCAGCTCAGCCTGGGTGTAGTCGCAGCTGTAGGTACGTGCACCCCTGCATGCTGACCCGGCCATGTTTCTCCTCCTCTCTGCTTGGCTTCCCTCCAAAACCTGCTCCACAGATTGAGGTGGGGGTCCTGGTGTGAGGCAGCGAGGACAGAGGTAAGGGGTTCTCCCTTCCACCTGCACAAGCAACTTTGAACTGTTAATTAAACTCCCCCAATAATGCCTCTGAGCCTATTAGCATTGCAGGCTTGTGTGTATGATTTGGAAGGCGTTGTGGGAAAAATATTTCTGCATAGATTTCCCATTGTGCAGCCCGGAGGGGTGGTCAGCGGGGGGAGGGCCAGGGCGCTCCCAAAAGGGATTTAAGGGGAGAGTGTAACTGGGGCTGCCTGGTGCTCACCCTCCCCGTCAGCTCGCAGCTGGAGCAGTTTGCCCAAAGGATGGCTGGAGTAAGTAGCTTGTTTGCAGAAGGGAAAATCATCAGGGCGAGATGCCCCGGGTGGGACTGGTGTTGTGCAGCGGGTGGGTGCTGCTGGGTGGGTGGGAAGGTGGCCCCAGCTGGCCTGGCCTTGGGCAGCGGCTCTCCAGCCCCCAGGAGACACAGCAGTTGTCCTGGAGGTTGGGGGGTCCCTGTGCCACAAGGACTTACAGCACCCCATCCTGCGGGTGAGGGTGCTGGGCGCTGCCCCAGGGTGGTCCCTGTCCCCTCCGGGCTCCGTGCCGCAGCCGAGACCGCGTAGCCCTGTGATCCTGGGTGCTGCTGGGACGTGCTGGTGGGCAGGGTTTCCAGACGGGTCCCTGGCCCTATAAGTAGCAGATTATGGGATTTGAAGCATGCAGCATGGACTTGGCTTTGCTGTGGGGTAACCTGGAGGTCCTGGCAGCACCACGTGGATGCGGAGGCATGCAGCCCCCCTTTCTCCAGCCCTGGGAGCTCCTGGGGAAGGCACACAGATCCCAGGCACACCATACCAAGTACCTCACTTGCCCCAAGTACAAATATCACACAGTTTGGGGTTTCTGCTGGGCTGGCATCCCCACCGGTGACCCGAGCAAGCCTCAGCATTGCTGTACAGGCTGATGGCCCAGGGGACCAAGCCTCTGAGCTGTGCCATTGACCCATTTCAGCTGAGCAGATGGGTCCTTCCTGGTGCACTTCAAGGCCAACCTCTGCTCCAGGTGCAGAGCATCTCCCATCCCTCCTTTTCTGGCCTGGTTTCTGCATTTCAAATTGCGTCGGCGTCAAAGCTGGGACAATGCTGGCTGCGTGTCCCTGCTGGGGATGCTGCTGGAGCAATAGGACTTTCTGAGCTGGCAGGGGGACAAGCGGGGTCCTTGTCCCTTCTCACCATAGAACAAATCAGACAGCCCAGCAAACCCCAATCATGCGTTCCTCCACTCCTCACCGGGGGTGAGAGAGCAACCCAGCCACTTTAGTCCCATCTTGCTCCAAAATGGGCTACTTTTCTGGCAGAGACAGAAAAACGGTAGCACCCAGGGCCTCTGGAAAGCACCGTGTGGGTGGTGGGAGCTACAAGGAAAATGTTCAGGCTGGGTTTGGGTCACGTCCCCAGGGTAGTGCCCGTGGGGCAGCAGCATCCTCAAGCCTGCTGCTTTCCTCTCCTGCAGATGCCGTGCTGGGGCTGCCTGCTCTCTGTTTTGAAGATGCTTTCCCGCAGAAAGCGAGTCCTGGCCAGCTCGGAGGGCTCCAGCCTTCGCCGCTGCCTCTCCACCATGGACCTCATTGCCTTGGGAGTGGGCAGCACGCTGGGGGCGGGTGTCTATGTCCTGGCAGGGGAAGTGGCTAAGACCAGCTCTGGCCCGAGCATCGTCCTTTCTTTCCTGATTGCAGCCATGGTGTCTGCTCTGGCAGGGCTGTGCTATGCCGAATTCGGGGCCCGTGTGCCCCTGGCTGGGTCTGCCTATCTCTACAGCTATGTGACAGTGGGTGAGCTGTGGGCGTTCATCACTGGGTGGAATCTGCTGCTGTCCTATGTCATCGGTATAAGGCCCTTTTGATCCCTCTACCTTTGCTTTGCGTTGATGGTTTTGATGGGTGTCATTTTCAGACCCCACAGGGCCACCATTGCTGCCCCAGCTGCCATCTCTCCCCAGGTACAGCCAGTGTTGCCCGGGCCTGGAGTGCTACCTTTGACCAGCTCCTTGGCAAGAAGATGGGGACGTTTTTGGGTGCTCATGCAGCCATGAGCTCTGTGGGGCTGGCAGAGCACCCGGATGCCTTTGCCGCTGGCCTGGTGGTCCTGCTGGCAGGTAGGATGCCTCCCCCTGTGCCACCCTCCATCATATAGGATGAGCTCCTCATCCCACCTTGGACTTTTCAGGATGGTGCTGACCCCTCTGAGGCTTTGCCATTTCCCTGAGCAAATACAAGGGGAATCTGGGGAAATCTGCAGATCCTCCTGACTCCACCATTGTCCCCACCTTTTCCACCCTCCCCAGTAATGTCTGCCCTGGTATCATCCACAGGGCTCAGACAGTTTTGCCCTTTTTGTGCCCAGGGCTTCTTTCCTTTGGAGTGAAGGAGTCCACCACGGTCAACAAAGCCTTCACAGGTCTCAACATGCTTGTCCTGCTCTTTGTCACAGTGAGCGGCTTCATCAAAGGTGACCTTAGCAACTGGAGGCTTGGGGAGGATGACCTGCCATGGGCAGCTGCCCATGAGGCTGGGTAAGAAGGGCACTACTCTGCCTGTGCTGCCTTCAGAGGGTGATGGGAATGGTTGGGTCGTTCCCCTAACGCTTTATCCCAGGATAAAGGCATCAGAGAGCGTAAGCCCTGCTGCTGATCCTGGAGGGGTGAGCAGGTTGGATGGGCTCTTCAGCCTGGCCCCATCCTGGGACCCTGTTGTGCTGACCCCTCTGCACTGCCTGACTCTTCCTCCTCCTCCCAGGAACCAGTCTGTGGCTGACAATATGACCAGTGCCTTTGGGGTCGGAGGCTTCATGCCCTATGGTTTCACTGGGACTTTGGCTGGAGCCTCTACCTGTTTCTATGCCTTTGTTGGATTTGACTGCATTGCTACCATGGGTAAGTGAGGCAGGGAGAGATGCCAGCGGGACACTCCCCTGCAGGCTGGGGAGCTGTGGCAGTGATTCTCCCTGCAGCCCTGGGAGCTGGTGTAGGACTGGGCTGGGAATGGGAACATTGCTGGCTCTGTGCCCCAGCCACTGTTTCCTGCTCTCTGTGCTCGGAGGAGGAGCTATAAGAGTCCATGTGGCATGACTGGGATAACCCTTGAAGCAGAGACAGTCCCTATCACTATAACTCTGGAGCCCAGGAGGTCTAGCAGTCCTCGCTAGAAGGCCTCTGTGTCCCTTCTCATGGGGATACAGGATATTAAATGAGCATCTGTTTTTACAGCTGAGCTTGTCCTCCTCAGGGGAAGAAGTGAGGGACCCGCAGAGATCCATCCCCATAGGCATCGTCCTCTCCCTCCTCATCTGCTTCCTCATGTACTTTGGGGTGTCTGCTGCCCTCACCCTGATGATGCCCTACTATCTCCTGGACACCATGAGCCCACTCCCAGTGGCTTTTGAATACGTTGGCTGGAGCAGTGCAAAGCACGCTGTGGCTGTGGGATCACTGTGCGCCCTGACAACCAGGTGAGGGGTGGCCCCAACGGCAGCTTTGTGGCTCAGAGCAAGGTTGCACTGGAGCTGTAACACATGCAGGAGCTACCCCCAACCTCTGCCTTCTGACTGCCCTGCTTGGCCAAAACACCTCAGCCCTTCCTCACGAACTCTGTTGCTCCCAGCTTGGCCCCTCCTGATCAAGGAGAGCATGCCACTTATAGCCCAAAGCTGGAGGAAATGGTCAGGTGTTTGGTGGCACCATGACCCCAGGAGCAGGCTGGGGTATCTCAGTGTGCATAGGGCTCCTATGACCTGCGGACAACACTTCTCCAATACTGACCCTCATTTGATGGTGAGGGAGGTGATGGTCTTGTCAACATGGTCTTGAGAAGGTCATGGACTGTACAGATGAATCAGAGCTCCCTTGGCACCCAAGGAGGATCAAAAGGCAAGATGGCACCTCTTCTCCCCATCTCTTCCCCTCTCTGCAGTCTCCTGGGCTCCATGTTCCCTATGCCACGGATCCTGTATGCAATGGCTCGAGACGGGCTCCTCTTCAAACCTCTGGCTAAAGTTAGTCACCGTCAGTGCCCGGTGGTGGCAACGCTGGTGTCTGGAGGAGTGGCAGGTGGGTGAGCGATTGGGTTACCTCTTAACCTTTTTTGCAGGACAACGCAGACCCCCTAGCTTGCCAGTAGCTGTTTGAGCAATATGTCTTCACCTAGCGAGAGGTCTCCTCGCTGCGGGTGAAGACCATTTGTCCTCAATACTGTCCTGGACACCAGTTCAGCCTCTCTGAGCTGCCAGGCAGGAGGTGGCAGGATGCTTTGCACTAGTGACCAAAGCATCACCAGCTCATCGAGGTGCTTGAGTCCTGTTGCAGCAGGTGTCAGGGGGACCTGGGAGGCACAGAGAGAGAGCATGGCTGAGATGGTTGTCACAGCAGTGCTGCCAGCTCTTGCCAGAAGTCTGGAAGGGCTTCTCGTCCCTGCAGCTCTCCTGGCCCTCCTCTTTGACCTGAAAGCCCTGGTTGACATGATGTCTATTGGCACGCTGCTGGCCTACTCGCTGGTGGCTGGCTGTGTGCTGCTGCTCAGGTGAGACTGCCGGGGACAGGGCTCACCCAGCTTCTGCTGTTGGCCATGCCTGGAACAAGGCACTGGCCTTGGTGCACTGCAGGTGCATGCTCACATGCCTATTGACATCCAGTATCTGCTCCTCAGGTATCAGCCTGGACCCAGTGCTCAGGACACCCTTGCCGGGAAGGTCCCAGCTGTGCAGCTCTGGTGGGACCATCTTGTCCGGCCGCCCCCCCATCCCACCCCATGTTCCTCCGCAGCGGTGGCCTGGGCTCTGACAGCCGTGGGTACGCCCGGGAGTGGTGGATGAGCGTTCAGGGGAGCTGGTGTGGGGGGACCCACGGGGGACATCGCTGCTGTAGCACGGGCTGGCAGG